ATACATGAATTGATCGTAAAAAGACATTGCTTGAGTCTCCTAGTACTATCAAAGAGGTAGTCTGTCTCCAGTCTCTGAACCACACTATCTTCCCTACTGCCTAGCGCTATCTGCAATTGTAAAGTCCTAAATAAAGCAAGTCTAGATTTCTTCAGGTTATGAATGTCTGGTCTCCCTGGGGCTCCTTTTTAATTTACCGTTTGTAATAATAAATATTCAGAGACTAAGCGTTAGTCTATCAAAGAGTGCACTTCTAAAACTTGTTCCACAACAGGATATACTCCAACAAGACGTCGCTTATCTCAAACATCCTCGGCAATTATGCTCACATCGACGCAGATTAAAGAAATGGTTTAGTACATGGTATCGGTGTATCTTATCGTGAATTTGACAGATATTGATCACATTTCAAGTCCGAATCTTCAGTGTAGTCAACATCATACTGACGTACAGAGAGCTGAGTTGAAGCGTATGTATTGCATGTAGATTACAAACACACTTCAGTAATAAATGCCCGCGATTTTGGCACAGGAATATACATGGGTACCAGATGAGCACTGTCGCGGCATAACTCATGGAAATACGTCCTGGTACTGAATGTACTGACGCAACGCCGAAACATAACTCTTTACTGCAATCACAACGGTGCATTATGACGTCACAGTGATGTGGTGGGATGCTTGTGGCCAAGGTGACCCATGAAAAAAAAATGTTCGTGAGTGCACATAGTGAAGACTGTGCGAGGCGAAGATGGACGCATTGCTGAATAGGCCATTGGTCTCAGGCGTGCTTAAATAGTTTTAAAACTTAACCACAGAACGATAAAAATACTCATTTAATCGACACGGTTGGCGTTTTAAGATAAGAAAAAGCTTCAACTGCAACTATAAAACGAATCACTAATGCAAAACTCGAAGCATTTAATATATTTTCCAAATATTGCGCAATATCTCGTTTAATTAATACACACCATGAGAAGGATTATACCTTCACTACAATGTGATCCGTCCGTCGCCGAAACATGACTGTATTAATAACACAAAACAACTCACAACCATCCTGATAGTGTGAATGAAAGAGTTGGAATTTGTTGTCCCATGGGAACTATCTCGGCCACATAACGCTAATAAAATCAAATTATAGAAACTATTATGATGATACAACGTCATCCGCTACAGTGATCCATCAATATCCTCCTTCTTGCATTTGATTCAAAACATTCCATACAATTTGGATACGAACAATATGTGAAAAAGTCCGCGCTATCAAGTGCCATTAATCAAAGAGCTGTTTGCCAAAGTCAGTGTTTGAAATAGCTTCTCCGCCATTGCATCTATCCATCACCGAGATGCAGCTAGTTAAGGCTTGCCACATACTCATTAATTCTGACTTGTATTAGTCAGGTGCGAAGACAGGGAAGTGGGAGAGTGTTTTATTTTGCGGTTGTAAACTGGAGTAATTTGTCGGTAAGGAACAACGTGGCTATTCAATACGTTCCCCGAATAAGATCAAGGGAAGGAGAAGTTACTCCCAGAGTCTGATGTTGATTACTGTAATCGGACGGTTGGAAAATAAATGGCGTAGGGGATCTTAATTGATACAAATTCCATGGCGGTGTCAAAGAATGTGTGCTGTGTAATAAAGAATTTTTTTTAAAGTGAGAGACATCTATTTTACGTTTCGCCGTTCTTTGAGAATAAAACAGGAAAGCAAATGAAGGGATGACTTAATAGATACGTAACTAATCAGTGGTTTTCTTCAGTACCGTTCTTGTAATAACCATTTTGACAAAAACACACACCCATCCATTAGTTACTCAATTTAACTTCAAATCACACTGTCAAATCACTACACAATCATCTCATCAGTCGGGACACTGTCAATTCGGACATCTGGTATTCCGGACACCCCGTATTCCAGGTGATTGCTTTAAGGACATGTAATAAATTCTAGGAGTAGTCCCAACCATACCAGTATCTTGTTACACCAGACTTGTCTTAGTCTGGGCAAAATATGGGGAGTACCTCGGGATACACGGGGTCAAACTGGATACAATAAAATACTGTAAAATGTTCAAAGTTGGTTGGTTGGTTGGTTGTTTAACGCCGCCCTCAGCAATATTCCAGCAATATGGCGGTTGTCTGAAAACAGTCGAGTTTGAACCAGACAATCCAGTGATCAGCATCATGTGCATCGTTCCATGACATCGATGACATGTGTCAACAAAGTCAGCGAGTCTGACCACCCGATCCCGTTAGTCGCCTCTAACGAAAAGTATTGGTTACCGAAGACCAATTCTAACCCTGATATTCACGGGTTGATCGACAACCATATATGAATAGCAACAATACTCAAAGACTTCAATCAGTTAAACATGATATGCTTCTCATTCACATAATAAGACATAATCACCGTAACCGTTCTTCCATTGTTCGATTTTTAAAAATCTTTTGTATTTGATATGTTGAGAAGTATCAATGGTACATCATCAACTGCCAAGTAGGTCTGAAGGTCATTAGAGGTACAGTTTCCATGCGTTGTCCATCTGTCACACTCCATCAGTGTGATGGAACACCAGACCTTCAATCCTTCATCCCCAGCTTCCGTTAATCACCTTCCAGTGTGGCAGTTCACCACCCTTGGTGTCGGAGCGAGAGCCCATTACAGCCGAATGCTTTCATATCGCCTTTACCTGTTCCTCGGGCCCATTTACCATTTGTTTGTTTTCTCCTATCCGTGGAATAAACAATGAATATTTAATTCTTTGACGGTTGGAGGTTGAACACTTCAGCTGTTTAGATACACTTTTCGACCTGTGTATAAGCACTTTCTACTCATAATTACAAAGAGCGATAACGAGTACCAAAGAATCATTGGGATATCTGAAGGTGATCGAGTGCCGTTAAGCCCGTTATCGCATGCTACTTGTTAATACATTAAGGACGTTCGTGTACTTACCACAAATATGTCAGAGAAGCAAGATAACTGTTGTGTTTGCGCATGAATATGGGGAACCCTTTGAGTAAAACTATCAAAGCTTGTTCACGACAGCCAGTGCTAGTTACAACCTTGGTGCTTGACTCATCCGTTGTCTATATTGCTTGTCAGATCAGCGTGACACAGCGATCTATCTTACCTTGATAATATGACACCATAAAAATACACAAGATCAAGAAATCCGATAAGATATTGCTGTTTTGACATGAAGTACCGAAACCAGAGTTATAAACTTTTAAATTTCAATTTAAAAATACGCATATAAGAAAGTTGGCATATTGACTAATTGTATACTTCCAATGAGACGTTTCTGCACAGATACGAGCATCCACTTGCTTGATAAAGACATCAGCTTCTAGACCAGTCCTAAACGTCACTTTGAAGAAGTCCATCAGTCAAAATCGTCTTCAGCTCTGTACGTAATTACTCATTGTTTCTCAAATTATATCATGAATATTAAAATCTGTAAAAAATAAAATATACATCCGTTCTCAAAGAAAGATAAAATAAATCGATTGAGATGAAATAAATTCCGATTTAAGGAAAAGATTTAGGTAACGATACCAGCAGCTTGAAAGAAGTATATCAGTGCAAGGTGACGGGGAACTTGACAGACTATTTCCATGAGGGTTATGGCATCTGTATGAGATAGCTGGTATCTGTATGCTGCCATGGCTTTAGTATGCTGTCTACATACCTCTGCGATCGTTTTACATTGTTCTGAGACGGTGTTCCAGCTGACACTGTATAATATGAACCGTCAACGCAGAGGGAATCAATCTGGTTCGCTTGCCGAAACGGTAAGTGAGTTGCACTCAGCAATATTCCAGCTATATGGCGTCTGTAAATAATCGAGTCTGGACCAGACAATCCAGTGATCAACAGCATGAGCATCGATCTACACAATTGGGATACGATGATATGTGTCAACCAAGTCAGTGAGCCTGACCGCCCGAACCCGTTAGTCGCCTCTTAAGACAAGCATGGGTTACTGAAGACCAATTCTAACCCGGATCTTCACGAGTATGCCGAAACAGATTCCATTTGGCGTAATAGGCAGCATATTGGCGAAACAGTCCGTATTTATGAGGTTTGATCTACACACTCAGTAATTCCAAGAGGAATATGCAGGATGAATTACAGTACATGTGGCGTTTCTGCCATACTCGTTCCTGTGTTTTTCTTTTGTTTTTCGTTGATGCAGAAATTAACCTAAAGTATCACGCCTTGAAAATCACCAAGTATGTTTATAAAAGTGCTTTGTTGCAGAAATAAACACGACGTGATTTTCCTTGGCAATGAGAGGAAGGCATTTTTTGCTGCGAAGATGTTAATATACGTTTTCGCGAATGCTCATGCCCTCCTTCACACGACTATGAACACGGGGAAGTACATGAAGTGTTTCATAACACACAAACAGCCGTTATCATAAGAACGCTTTCTCGTTAGTATATATGAGAGACGAACAGCAGCGTGCATTCACTAAATGGCATTCTGTTCCTTACAGACTGATCTATACATGTACGTATAGACAAGTAGAGGCCATTTCACACCAAAGAACTCAAGTTCCAGAATACTGTCTTGAAGTATGGATTCATAATGGGTAGTGTTGTGAATGGACAACAATTAAGATTCTCCGTCAAAACACAAATCTAACACTGAAAGAAATATTTTAACTCACGTTTCATACCTCCTGGGTGCCGATCGAGAAAGTGTTCGTGGAACTAGGACATTCGTAAACGTATGTTATACTATAGAGTTACGACAGGTCGTAACGTTACGAGTGCTTTGTGGATCGGAACCCTGGAGTCAAATTATGGTTAATACTAAAGAAATATTACCAGATATCAGGAATCCCCGTACCCCATGGTACCGAACCTTGTCCCATTGATTCCAATATAGTGTTCCGGTCCTCATTACCAGATACATAGATACACTATGTCACATGCTATTCTTCAGGTATGTAAAAACACATGACACTCGTGCATATTAAAGGTTCTTACCATTAAATGTAATTCTTCCATCCTTGTTGTTGTCGACGACGTCTAAAACGTTGGTGACTTCCTCGTCTGTCAGCGAGATTTCCCCCTGGAAGCCTTTGATGATCAGATGAAACTCATCGTATGGTATATAGCCGATAATCTTCGTGTCGAGAATACGAAAGTACTCCTTCATCTGATGCTCGCTATCGATGTCTACCACCCCCGCCATTGAGAGAGCGTTTTCTTGTCGGTATCGCCGAAATATACACTCTTGAATACGAATCTGTGAAGAAAGAAACGGTCCGGTTCATAAAGTGAGTGAGGAAAGGTCTGGTTTAGAACGAAATGACATATCTGGTTCACAACAGGAGAGAGGGGAGAACGGAAAGGTATAGTTCATGAACTGAGTGAGGAAAGTTGAGGCATAGTCTGTGACGTGACAGTGATAAAAGAAGAGGTATAGTTCATGACGTGAGTTAAGAAAGTTGAGGCATAGTCTGTGACGTGACAGTGATAAGTTGAGGGTATAGTTCATAGAGTTAAGAAAGTGAGGCATAGTCAGTGATAAAAGAAGAGGTATAGTTCATGGTCCATGACGTGAGACAGTGATAAAAGAAGAGGTAAATGACGTATAGAAAGTTCATGACGTGAGAGTGAAGAAAGAAGAGGTATAGTCCATGACCTGAGTGATGAAAGTAAAGATATAGTTCATGACGTGAGAGTGAAGAAAGTAAAGGTATAGTCCATGACCTGAGTGATGAAAGTAAAGATATAGTTCATGACGTGAAAGTGAAGACAGTAAAGATATAGTTCATGACCTGAGTGATGAAAGTAAAGATATAGTTCATGACGTGACAGTGATAAAAGAAGAGGTATAGTTCATGACCTGAGTGATGAAAGTAAAGATATAGTTCATGACGTGAAAGTGAAGAAAGTAAAGATATAGTTCATAACGTGAGAGTGAAGAAAGTAAAGGTATGGTTCATGACCTGAGTGATGAAAGTAAAGATATAGTTCATGACGTGAAAGTGAAGAGAGTAAAGATATAGTTCATGACGTGAGAATGAAGAAAGTAAAGGTATAGTTCATGAACTGAGTGAAGAAAGTAAAGGTTTAGTTCATGACGTGAAAGTGAAGACAGTAAAGATATATTCATGACGTGAGAGTGAAGAAAGTAAAGATATAGTTCATGACGTGAGAGTGAAGAAAGTAAAGGTATAGTTCATGACGTGAGAGTGAAGAAAGTAAAGATATAGTTCATGACGTGAGAGTGAAGAAAGTAAAGATATAGTTCATGACGTGAAAATGAAGAGAGTAAAGATATATTTCATGACGTGAGAGTGAAGAAAGTAAAGGTTTAGTTCATGACGTGAGAGTGAATAAAGTAAAGGTTTAGTTCATGACGTGAGAGTGAATAAAGTAAAGGTATAGTTCATGACGTGAAAGTGAAGAGAGTAAAGATATATTCATGACGTGAGAGTGAAGAAAGTAAAGGTTTAGTTCATGACGTGAGAGTGAATAAAGTAAAGGTATAGTTCATGACGTGAAAGTGAAGAGAGTCAAGATATAGTTCATGACGTGAGAGTGAAGAAAGTAAAGGTATAGTTCATGACCTGAGTGAAGAAAGTAAAGGTATAGTTCATGACGTGAGAGTGAAGAAAGTAAAGATATAGTTCATGACGTGAAAATGAAGAGAGTAAAGATATATTTCATGACGTGAGAGTGAAGAAAGTAAAGGTTTAGTTCATGACGTGAGAGTGAATAAAGTAAAGGTATAGTTCATGACGTGAGAGTGAAGAAAGTAAAGATATAGTTCATGACGTGAGAGTGAAGAAAGTAAAGGTATAGTTCATGACGTGAGAGTGAAGAAAGTAAAGGTATAGTTCATGACGTGAGAGTGAAGAGAGTAAAGATATAGTTCATGACGTGAGAGTGAAGAAAGTAAAGATATAGTTCATGACGTGAGAGTGAAGAAAGTAAAGGTATAGTTCATGACCTGAGTGAAGAAAGCAAAGGTATAGTTCATGACGTGAGTGAATAAAGTAAAGATATAGTTTATGACGTGAGAGTGAAAAAAGTAAAGGTATAGTTCATGATGTGAGAGTGAAGAAAGTAAAGGTATAGTTCATGACGTGAAGTGAAGAGTCATACATTCAACGGGTGAGACATTTGGAAAGTCATACATTCAACGGGTGAGACATTTGGAAAGTCATACATTCAACGAATATCCGGTTTACATTGAAACAATAAGACAAAGTCAAAATCTTCCTTCATTTATATATAGGCACGTGCCTGTATGATCCGATTGCACTCAGCACATTCGCCATTGAAGCCTTATGAGGAACATGTGACTACTAGACAAATAAAACATGATGTTAAAACGATATTAACATGAAACAGAATTCATTAAATCAAAACTGTTGTTCGCTATTGGGATTAACAGGTTTTGAGCATATCTTTCAAAGTTGACTCATTTGACAGGATTATCAAGATTAAAGTAACATGAACCTACTACCTTATCACATGACAGTCACAACTCTGAATATTGGTGAACCATCATGAAACGAATACGAACTAATTTTCAGTTAATCGAAAATGGAATGTAATTAAGAAATGATCATTTACCGATATAGACTATCATGCCTATTTCATAAGCATGATTGTAAATGAAATTTACCGTAGCTACCCATTCCAACAGTTAACAGGTGTACCGTTTTAGCAAAACACATCAAAATAATATATACTACAAAGGGATAACAATTTGATAAATATATGACCCGTAAAACAAAATATTATACTACCTCCAAAATAAGACAGCTGAAGTCTGAAACTCGTTTCCACACACAACGGCTCATAAACCGATCTCTCAACGCCGGTACCTTTCAAACACAAGCGAAAGGCAAAACAGTGTTATATCCTTCCTAAAGCCAAGAGAAAGCACAGCGAGAGATTTGTGAATGGATCTTCCTCTGAGCTCGAGAAGCCCCGAGTACGAATATACATGTACTGTGTAGATTATAAACTATGGGATTGGATGCTGGAGGAAAGAAGAACAGGGGCTGTTCGGCATCTTATCGGTGCCCTGGGAATCACATCTCAGGTAAAAATGGGAAGGTACGGGTTTCGATTTCATTGACACGTGGAGAGATCGGTTTAGACAAGTTGAGAATGAACGAGGGAGATAAGATCACATTTTGGCAAACACTTTTAAAAGTTTTTCCTTTTATGCTAAAGAAACAAAATTATTGGTTTCTGTCATAAGAAATGAAACTTAGATAGGATATTGCAAAGTTCAGGAACCTTTGCAGCAATGTGTCTTACTTTAATACAAAATATATTTTAAACTATGAAAGAAGTTTATCAAGAAGGTAATGGGAAGTTACTATGGAAATCAAGCAAGCTGGAAGGAAACGTCGGTGATAATATCGAATATATTTTACCTGTTATGAGATGCTAGACCCGCTGTCAGTAGTACACAGTCACGCTACATATGTATTTGTCTAGCCCAAATTGCGACGGCTTGCTAAACGGTTCCCTACCGTGCGTATTCAAGATCGAAACTTTTTGGTATGTTGGGGAATTCTTGTGCGACAAATAGGACCGGGGCATCTCATGAATAAATCTACATATTTCGTCACTTCCTTTTTGACTGGGTAAGTCTGAAGCTCACGTGTGCTAATTACGTTTATCAGTATCATGTAAGGGGCAGTAACTGCTGGCGGCTTTAATACATAGTTTTTCTTCTCGTTAAGAGAATACGAGAATACAATCTAGGTGGATTGGCTGATAATCTGTACTTATGGCATCACCAATTTACCAAGACGGTGAGTTAGCGAAGGTTAAGGTAATCCTGCGGTCATTTTTCAGGCTAGCAGACGATATAGCTCAGTTTGAGTGAAATCTCTGACAGCTGTCTCCCCACAAGTGATTGACTTGGCTGGCGGATCAACACGCGTGCACGCGCCACGAAATCCACGGGCAGACGAATAATCGCAGTCTCGTCATAGCACGTGCGCTGTTTAACAAGTCATCGTCTGCTGCCTTCTTCGAGCAATAGCTCAAATCTGTTAATCGAAACCCGACGCGAAATTGAATTGCTTTGGTTATCTGAAAGATATCCGCCTGTTGTTTTTTTTTCGCCGGCAGCAGGGGGAATTCTTTCGCCATTAGTACATTCGATGCACACCCTTCAACTGCGATCAAAAGGTTTTCGCGAGCACTTTAAATTAAAGCGGAAGGTCATGAAATTTTACTTGTGATTCATAATTGGAAGAAACTTTATAACATGAAACGACCGAAAAGTGATAAAAGAATTAAAGAGTTTTTCTTCTGGTTAAGTTATTTTTTTCCTGTTGGGGACGTTTTCCTGTTATTTTGATTATATACAGGAAGCAGATAATATTTGATACATTAAATTTGAGGTACCCTTAAAAGTATGAAGGTTGCTGTCGGAATCCTTTCCTGAAAGATGATCTCAGAAAATAAACACTGGATCTGACTACGCCTGGTGCTTGTGATTAAATGAACGAACGCGTCCTCTCGTTTTTGTCATCATGAGAACATGGCTTATTCACTAAACAGGCCTCCCTATTTCTTTAATTTTTTCAAGATATTAAAATTAAATCACCAGTCCTCATCTCGCTTGTGTACGCATGTTTTATATTGGACAATAGTGCATCTTGATTGTCACGACCTTGTACATGATTTCCAACGAAACGTCATGATTATTTTAAAGCCAAAAATATAATAATTTTTCTAAAATACCATCTGCAAATATGGTAATAAAACCTTACCATGTTAACACATTGCACTTATGTGTGTTTCAGATATACCTGTCTCGTTGAAACACATTGGGTCGTTCCCGTGATCAGACATCACCCTAGTACCTCATCTGGTAGAGCAGATAGAGCGTTTGCTCGGAGTAGACCGTTCACTGGTTAAATCCCCGTTAGCGTCCTACCAAAAGAGTTTAGAGATGTTACCCTGCGTGGCAGTAGGCATTGGGGAAGTTAAATTAGACCTGGGCCCCGTTTCACAAAGCTATTTACTGTCGTAAATCTATGTATAGGAGGGACGACAGTCGTAGCGCTACGGTAGCTTTGTGAAACGGGTCCCTGGGCGCGTTCCTCAAAGCAATCGTAGCGCTATGACTGTCGTAAGTCTATGTTAAAGTATGGGAGTTACGATCATCTTTGCGCTACGATCCCTTTGTGGGAGGGGGCCAAACTCTCAGGATAAATGGGGTGGGGGGGGGTGGGTGCGCACCCCTGCACCCCACCTCTGGATCCGCATATGCACAAGTCTTGACTAATTCAAGTATACGTGCCATGAATTCAAACGCGGCGTTAAACCTCCATTTACGTCACCTTATGTCCGTTACCTGGTTCTGAAGCTCTAAAGATCGTTATGTCACACGTTTTTGTGTCCATGGGCTTTTGTTATTTTGAGACAGACGCTCACTGGGAGCGGCAACTCAACTTTTAATGTGTGTCACACATATAATGTAATGGTGTGTATTGAAGGAGCAACACAACACGCCTGAATTCGTCAACTGACCCTGACGTTCAATACCATAAAAGATAATAATTCGGATTCAATGAAGAGTGTTTATGTTTAGCCGTGGTGTGCCTGCTAGATATGGAAGGAAGGCCAAGGTTGTTTTAATTTTTCGCGTGAACCCAGGAGCACGTCTTAAGTCCTTTCAAACTCATGATCACATTCCTGACGACGCTAATGGACGCAACTTCATATGACGAAACTGCAGTGTTTAATGATTGCGTTCAAATGAAATATTTTTAAAATAACCAACCCTTGCGATCCGCCAAACAGAGATTCTGAGACTTGTTGGAGATAAACAGGGAGACGCCCAATCTGTTTGTATAGTATTTGTATACTAAAGAAATGTTTATATACCATCGAATCATCTCAGTGGGAACCCGCTAAACACGGCCCTCAATTCATGTCTCATGTACTTGATATCTCTGCAGCTCGTCTCCTGGTGAACGTGTCACTTCTTAGACATATTTTCCAGTCAACAATACGGTTCCTGATCCTTAACCAATATGACGTCATGTTCAAGACAACTACTCGGCTTGATGGTACATGTACTTCCTAGCTGTCTTGGTGTGTATTTGTGGAGAACTGTGTCTGTAGTGCTACTCCGTCTCATTTGTACTTAGTGTTGCGTGTCAAAATATGTGCTAGTGTTGTCATAGTTATACCCTCACATCAGTCCAGAAAACAGCTGTTGCTACTCACATTCCTTCATCCAATACCATCATAGTTACCCTAGATATACCGCAGCGTCGGCTATTACAAACGCAATTAGAATTGACGCCACTGCTTAGGTTAATACGACATTCGGATATTACGAATTGATTTTAAAGGGATTTTGATCAGTGTCCGGAGCTGACTCTCTGACTGGACTTTTTTTTAAATGAGATGACGGCACACTGTGCAAAACACATAATCGAGAAAAAACAACAACATTTACATGTAATGTTAATTGGCCCATCATAACAAGACACTCGTCAACGATACGGTGATAATGTAACGATGAATTGTAATTCATTAAGTTGTCACTCACTCACTCACATGTCGATAAGTTGTTTAGTTAGGATGGGACATATTACAAAACATTTTGTATCATATGCAAGTCACGTTTCCCTGATCTCCAGTCACTAGTTTTCGAAATATTGCGCAAGGATGTTCAAAGGAAGGTTGTAGTAAGTGGAGATAACTCCTTCTAAGCAGGACCACCACAAATCATAAACGCCTCCCTGTTGCCAGCTCGCGGAGTATGAATACCGCTTGTCAACGAGAAGGCTGATATTGCAGTTGAAGTATTCAAGGTATCTGTGTTAAATGATAGGAACTGTTTTGGTGTAACATCCCGATGGGTGGAACTGACAACCGAGGGAGATACGTTAGAGTGGAGCGTGTTTGGGCTGGGGAAAGACGCACGGGCTGTGTATTTGGTAAACATGCGCATCCGCACAGGTTAGTAGTGATAATGAACAGTGATGTTGAACTCTGTATCAGAGTTTTATATAAGCTGCAAATATTCAGAAGGATATATCTTTGAGGATCCTTTTAGACAAATAATGGGTTGTATAATCGTTTTGATTGTCGAGTACAGTGTTTAACGAAGAGTATTCAACTTGCCAATGAAGTCCCGGGATAGGCCTTCATTGTCGTGAAGTGAGGCTCACTGACTCACTCACTCACTCACACTGTCACGGAACATCCTGTCTGCGGTGTGACGCAACTAGCGTGATATTCAGGGTCACGCCATGTGCGCATGTTCCGCCTACAAGTTAAACTGTTGATACTGCAGTCACAATGTTTCCAAGGGATGTTACTCCGGATGTATTATAATCAGGGGCAGATAACCTCATGTGACCGTTTCCCGTTCGAGCCAAATCCCTTGTTCTGCTTGTTCAGGCACCTAATCGCCAGCACACAAAGTTAGCCGTGTTTACTTTACTTTACAGAGTAAGTGTAAACCCAAACATAACTTGTTACATTTTACCACTCTGTAAATGGCATCGTGCATTCATCTACACGTTCAGAACAAGCTTATAGCCAATGACATGACAGGATGACAGACATTTGACGCTCCCATGAAGATGCTGAATGGTAATGAATTTTGATGACAACTTTATAAGGCAGAAATGGTACTCCTTGACCCTAAACGGCGTGTTGTAAGCATAAGATGTAATGATCCATAATCATTCTACTACTACTGCTACTGCCACTACTACTACTACTACTACTACTACTACTACTACTACTTCTACTAGTGCTGCTGCTGCTGCTGGCTACTACTACTACTGGCTTCCATTGTTATCTTATCGGACCGTGGGGTATCCTGGTGGTTAAAGCGTTCGCTCGTCACGCCGAAGACCCGGGTTCGATTCCCGACATGGGTACATTGTGTGAAGCCCATTTCTGGTGTCCCCAGCCATGATATTGCTGGAATATTGCTAAAAGGGGCGTAAT